TATGCGGACTCGGTCTTTGGGCAGGCGAGCTGTACGGGGTGTATGTATGAGATGTACAAGGCTGCGTGAGTTTCTCTCCTTCTTGTTCTTCTATGGTGAGCGGGGGGGCTTGGTGCTGACATAAGGCGTGGAACGGTAGAGTCTACACAACCCCCTCCATCCGGGGCCAAGACCTCACAACATCCCTCGGCGACCACCTGAAAAACTCGTGCCCCGCAGACCCGGATACGGGCAGTACAGTGAACTGGGATGATGTGGAGGATCAGCAGATACCGGATGCGCTGCAGGTGAGCCAGAATACGCAGACGGGGACTAGCTCGGCAAGGAGGAGGGCGGGAGTCGGTGGGGGTTGGGGGGTGGAAAGATGGGGTGGGGGGTGGGAAGGGGTCGGGGTGGTTGTTGGGGTGGTGGTGGGGCTGGGGGTTGGTGGGGTGGGGATGATCTGAGAGGAGACAGGGGTGGAGCCCAAGAGGTAGACTAGGAGGTAGCTGTCCCGCTCTAGCCCAGAGGACACCTCACGCATGATGCATATACTCTTCTTTTCACGTAGGCATGCTTGAGGACTACACTGAGCGCCTAAGACACCTTCCTCTCTGCTACCCCTGTGTCTAGGCCAGAGAGAACGCCCGTGACTCAAATCCCACCTAAGCATCTATACGATGTGTGGTTGTGGATGGACGAAGGCAGAGTGGTGGGCTTGGGTGTGTGGGACCGAAGGGGCAAGTGTTTGTGGCTGGCGGCATATGCATGACGGTGGGTTATGTAAGCTGCTTCCATCGTCGAGAGAGTGCTCATGCATGACGTGTGCATTAAATTCGCCCAGGAGGGCGGATTCGCCACCGAAGAGCCCCGCAGCGTGCCTCCACCGGCCGCCTGCCGAGGGTTGAACGACCCATCCACGCACCTGCCTATAAATCCCCCTCCCAATTCACATCCCCTTCCTCTTCCTTACTTCATCTTCCCTCCCCCTCCCCAAACCCCAGCAGCTCATCCGCGTGCCACTCCTAGCTCATAAAGCATCATGTCGCGCGCCGACTCTCGCTGCACTTCCCTCCCCTTCCCCCTCCTCCCCTCCTCCCCTCCTCCGTCCTCCAACTTTTGTCACTCCTTTGGACGATCCCCGTCCCCTCCCTCCCCCTCTCCTCCCTCTCCCTCCCCTCCCTCCCCTTCCTCCACCTCCGACACCCCTTCCTCCACCTCCGGCGGCTCCGTCAACGCCGTCGACCCTACCCCCGACGTCGACGAGGACGCCGATGAGCTCCTCAGACTCAGCCTCGCCACCCCCGAGAGGTTGAGGAACAGGCGGTCCCTCGCGCCTTTTCCCGACCGGGGCACCTGCCAGGAGGCCGTCCGCCATGGCCCTCGCTACCTCGCGAGCATCATCAGCGACTGGCTTGCGCGGTTCGGCGCGGGGCCAGTGTTGAAGGTGGTGAACGAGAGGGAGTGGCTTGTGGGGACTGGGCTGGTGCGGGCGGAGGATGTGAGGAGGAGGGTCGAGACGGTGCCTGTGGTGCACGTGGTGGAGGGTGGCGAGCCTGAGCACGCGGGTGCGGGTGAGGGGTTGGTTGAGCGAGAGGGGCAGGGCGAAGGGCACAAGCAAGGCGGCGAAGAGGTTGAAGGAGGTGCGGGGATGGGGGATGGGGTGACACCTGTCTCGTTCTTCCGTGCCGCTTTCGCCTTTGTCATGCTCGTCTGCGCCTGTGTCTGGGTTGAGGTTAGCATGGTCTGTGCTACCTTCCCCATCCCCGTCGCCATCTCCGCAGCGTTCTCCACCTCCGAGACTCGGGCGTGTCTTCGTAGTGCCGGCAGGTGTGAGGCGGGTATGGGTAGGCAAGGTGCGAGGGTTGAGGATTCGGGGGCGGCGCGCAAGGGTCTCAAGGGGCTGCACGGCGGGTCCGACGGTCGCATCGGGGGATATGGCGGGGTGACGCCCCCTTCTTCCTCGAGGACTGTCATGGACTATGTCGTGTGGGTTATCGCCGAGCTGATCCTTACGATCACCGGTATCCCCAAGACCCTAGGCTACCGCGCCAACTCCGTGCCCTCTGCCGGGCGTCGCCCGGCTTCCTCGCGGCACCACCACCCCGTCGTCGTAGACCAGCCTTCCCCGACCGAGCACGAGGCCATCCCGCCGCGCTCGTCACCCGCCGCGCCTTCCCCCACCGAGCAGCCCCCCATCTCTCCCCCCACCGCATCTCCTCCCGCCGGGCCGTCGTCTACGCCTCAGCGGGGTGCCTACACCGGCCCCGTCGCGCAGCCTCATCCGGCCCGTCCCTCTCCCCGCTCACTCCTGGCGAAGTACCGCCGCGACATCGCGAGGGCGACCAAGCGGCCGCTCGAGGACTTCGACAACCCTGTGGTCAAGCGGGCGAAGTACGAGGCGGAGCAGGGGCGGAGGCGGGAGGCTGAGGCGCGGGGCAGGGGGTGGAACCAGGGTGGTGCGTGGGGGCAGGGGCATGCGGGTATGGTGTCGGGGTCTAGTGGGAGTGCGGGGGCGGTGGCGTCGGGGTCGAGTGGGAGTGCGGCGGCGGGTGGTGTGTGGCGCAACGGGGGTCTGGGAGCGCAAGTGCCGAGCAAGAGTCACGCCGATCAAGCAGATGTTACATCTGCCCAATTGGCGGCTCAACGTGAGGTGCTGGATGCTGAGTTCGGGGGTGCGGGTGAGGACACAGTCGGTATGAGCTATAGCTCTATCGACAAGTCCGCTGAGGGGGCTCAAGCAGGGCCTTCTCGATACCCGTCCTCGGCCAGCGTCACCGTGAACAGCCTCCGGCAGGGGTACAACTGGCGTACCGCCAAGGTAAGCTTGCCCGTCAACGTATATCCCAGAGACAAGCTGACCAGCCGCATGCACCATAGAACCCCGAGTCCGACCACGGGTCCAGCTCCGCCCGCGTCGATGACACGAGCGCCACCACCGCCACCACCACCGCCATCGCCAACCCCGAGACCGCGACCGCCCCATCCACCCCGGCCGCCCCGTCCTCACCCCGCTTCTCCGGCAAGCGCAAGCGCGGGCTCACCCCCGACCCGATGGAGCCTCCCCAGAAGGTGCCTCGTACGCTGCAGCCCAGACCTTCGAGGACTGCTGCTGCTAGCGAGGAACCTGCGGACAAGGAGGCTCCTGCCAACAAGTCGGGCGTGCTTGCCACCGTCACTGGTGGATCGTCGTTCGACGGAGCGAACCGCGCAACCCTCGCGGGCAGCGCTTCGTCTTCGTCGGTCGGAGATAAAGATGAATGCGTAACCCTCGCGGGCAGTGCTTCTTCTTTCCTCCGAGACGATGCCCTTACGGGCCAGGCGCCGTCGAACCGCGCTGAAGAAGCGAACTGCGCAACCTTCACGGGCAGCGCTTCGACTTCCGAGGCCGGTGTCGAGGCTGGAACGCAATGCGCAACCCTCACGGGCAGCGCTTCGATCCAGTCTCCCGACGGTGAGAAGGAGGCGAAGGTTGTGCGAGCCGCCGGTCCCAAGCCGACCCGCTCGACCGCGCCGGCCACCTCCGCCACTTCCCCCCCGCGCACCCGCTCGCGCACCCGCGCCCTCGCTGCCACCCCCGTCTCGGCGCCTACCGCCGGCGCACCTCTTGCGGTCAACGTACGCAAGAGGAAAAGCCGCGACCCTGACGAGGACCAGCACCCCGAGCCCGTCGAGCGCAAGGCCAAGCGCGCTCGCGCCCTGCAAGAGGCGGGCCCGAACGTCGGCCGCGTCGACGCAGGGGAGGAGAGCAAGCCTGCCAACTCGAGGGCTGGGAGGGGGAGGAAGGGGGTGAAGGTCGAGGAGGAGGTCCCCGCGCTGGGGCCGGTGCGCCGCTCCGCCCGACTTGCGGGCAAGGCGCTGAGGTGAGACACGGACGATGTGGTGGGCCCCAGTGTGATACTGCGGGGGACAGTGCATCAGCGAGGCTGTTAGGCCGGCGGTGCACTGTGTCGTGGCCAACAATAGCCGACCCACCTTCAAGCAAGTCCCCAACCGTCTCCCTCCCTCCAGCAGAACCCCCCACACCTCCCTCGACCTCTTCTCCGCGCGCCGTCGCCTCGACCACCTCCGGCGTCGGCTCTTCGGCCTCACCGGCTCGGTCCCGACATCTCCTGCTCGGCCGTCCCCCCGAGCAACATTCTCGCCTCGGCCGCCCCCCCGAGGTGTCGTCGGCGGTGTGTATATACCTGCAAAGTGGAGGATGTGAGTCTGTCTTTTTGGCTAGGTGGGGTGTCCAAAGCTGACAATCCACAACACAGGTGCTGGCCCGGTGCTTGGTCTTGCACAAGTGCGTGCATGCTGGATACCTGCTATGCACACAGTGAGCTAGCATCGTCATTCACCCCCCTAGCGCTCGCTGACGTTCCCCCAGCGCCTTCCACAATGCTTGCCTATATACACCTACTTCCGAACGGACATTTGCTGTGGCCCCTATAATGTTTTGTTTGTACATAGAGTCGTGGTTTGCCGGCTGCGTCCGAGCATAGTTGTAGAGCCGACTAAGGTCGTGCGTAGTAACTTGTACCGTCCATAGAGACGCTGCGGGGGAGAGGGGGGGGCGATGGGGAGCAGCCGAGGGCCGGGGGGCCAGAGGGGTTATATGATTCGTTTTATGTATGGCCGTGAAAATTGATTGAGAGGGCCCAGCTGGTGTGGTCCTGGGCAGCTTGAAATGCCGAGCAAGTCTACGACAGACGCGGTGCTGAGGGTGTGGGTGGTCGGGGAGGTATTGTGCGGCATTGTGCCAAGCTGGAGTGATGGATGAAGAATGAAGAAGGATGTGAAGTGCAGGAGGCGATGCCGACCTCGACCTCCGCTGTCCGCGCCCACACACCACTTGCTTGCCGACTATCTATTATTACTCGCCGGCTGCCAGTCTGCCAGACCTCTTCCCCATGCATAACGAAAGAGCTTTACGAAGTGCCCAAAAAAAAAAAGGAGCTCAAATGCATATGAGCCTAAAGTGGTGGCGAATCGGATGGATGTAGTGTCTGGCAGCAAAAAGACACAAAAAAGGATACTTCCCCAGCCGGGAATCGAACCCGGGTCTACTGCGCACTTCATCAAAGCTAATGAAAAGCAGGTATTCTAACCCCTAAACCACTGGAGATTATAATCCGATGATGGTGTGCTTTGCTAAGATATCACCGGCACGCAACAGCTGCACATGCCGAGTCTCGTGAAGCCGTCCTTCCCCTGATGACCGTGGCATCTGTCTACAGTCTCATGGTTCACCATTACGCCCAAGTCGACTACCAATGGATGCCGTTGCATCGGGCCCAGAGGTTACGCTGCCAAAGAGGGGGCTGGACTAAGCTCTTCGCTTAGGCTGGTGCAAGGTGAGAGTGATCGGCAGGGCATCGACGGCCGTCTGCGATTGGAGATACAGACGCGATGGGGCGTCAGGCCGTGGAGAGGGATGGGGGGAACTTGTACGACTGTAAGCTTGAGCGGGTAGAGCAACCGTGGTGTGCCACGAGCATGAAAACGCCGATCGAGGCGGAGAAAATTGTGTGCACGGTCGTTGTCGACTGTTGTCACCGGCACCCTCCCTCGTCCTCCTTGTCGACTCACCCTCTCGTCCCGGCTCCTCGTGAGCTGATCCTAAAAGCATCAGAAGCTGTCCACCAACCATCAAGCAACATCACGTCCCCCTCAGCACGAAGGAGCCCAACTTGAGAGTCTTGGGATCCCGTCGAGACACCCCAGCAAGTCGACATGACAGCGCACGAGCTTTCGCCCCCCGAAGACAATGCCGAAGGCGGCTATTACTCCTCTGCCCATTCAACGAGTGAGGATGTCGCCGCCGACGCCATTGGAGGGCGGCCGTCACCTCCCCCCCACGCGCCATCATCCGATCCTTCGCGTGAGAGAAGGCCCACCGTGAGGGGGGTGAGGTGGAGAGAGGCGTCTCGAATCTCACGAGAGGCGGGTGCCGAGGTCCATCAGGACGGTGAATCAGAGGAGGAGGGGGGTAGGGAGGCTGGAGCGATTGCATCGATGCCTGTTGACCAGGAGGAGGGAAGGACGTGGGGTTATCAGTGGATGGTCACCGACGGTAAGCACAAGTGCGAGCGATCGAAGATGGAATGGCTCGCTCACCCATTGGTACAATAGCCATTCTGTTGCATTTGGGGTACGTGTCGGGTTCAGGGGTGTCACAAGTGACTGGGACCTCTGGCGAGAGACCTTGAGCAGCCGGGAGGATGGAGTGTGACCCGAGGACCGAGGGGGTAGCCGAGCCACGGCCGGAGGCCGCCAGCGTTTGCGAAGAAGACAACGATATCGGATCGACGAGGTATCAAGAGCTATGGAAGAGGGAGCCAGCTATATACGTCTCTGCAACGACAACGCACGTCCCCGGCCTCGCTACCATATCCCCTGACACCGCCGCATCCCCGCGTTCCATCTCTCTTCCCCTGATCTAACCTGACGCCTGGCGGGAGGTTCCGCGCCTGAGAGAGGGCACGAGCCGATAGGCTCGTGACAAGGGGCCTCTACTGGTATGAGACGAGATCTTCTTGGTTGTGAGTTCAACAGCCACAGCTGGGCCCGGAACCTCACTCATCTTTGGTCCGTAGCACCCTCTTTTGGGCAGAGTCTATCAGTTTTTCGATCCTTTCCATCCTCATCATCCTCCTCATAGAACAGCGAAGAGACATCATGCTGGAGAGGGCTACACCTCCGAGACCACAGACGCTCAATCAGTTATCCGTCTGGGCCGTAATGGTGGTGTTGACGCTTCGTCTTGCGTGCATCTTGGTAAGTTTGTGAACGGAGTCCTCTGCTAAAGATTCTTTGGATGACTGAACTTACCCGGCTCTGTTTGTCCACTCCAGACGCTCGGAGGTTTCGTGCATCCCACATTCTTCACCGGCGCCGCAGGTACAGCCATATGAGCGATGAGAGCGAAGTGTGGATAGGGGGGAGTAGGTATGTATAGTAGTGACTAGATGTGTATAGTGCCAGGGCTACGTGTGTATATGAGGCATAGTTCCAGACGAGGAAGGAGGGGTAGGGGGGGGGGGAGGTCATCAGCTTGTTGAATGAGTACGTGAGACGGGGGTGGGGATGGGGGTGGCAGGGGCTGTGAGTACAGTGAATCATTGAGCTACGTATGCACATGGGCGATTCGTCATGCAGCTCTGGTTCCTTCTGTCACTAACAGTGAACAGGAACACAAGACTGAATCAGAAGGACAGAATTAGAAAAGGAAGACGAAGAACGGATATGGCATGAGCGAGTCTCGGGCACAGTTGTTGGCCGACGACTTTTTGTCTATCATGAACTCTTCTCCTGTCGCAACCAAAACCCCTCAGCTCGTGCATATCCTGCACTGGCTGGGCATCCCGTCAGAGATCTGTCACTCCTGGTCTATCATCATGATACGGCCTGTGGTATCTGCCTGCCGCATTTATATCGTCGCGTTCATCACCACCGACCTACCAGCACTTCTGCTGTACGGGAAACGAGACAATCAGAAAGCCGAGGGAGACGACACCTAATGGGGAATAGCACCCACATCCATCACCACTAACGTATACGTATCAAATGCACGCCACGGACCTCACCACTAATTATCGGCGGATAACAGCTCAAACGCCAAGTTCTGCAGTCCGCCCGTCGTCGGCGGTACCGCGTGAGCGAATGAAGGTCTTTTGTTGTGATCCGGTTTCGGCTTTTTCAAATAGTCTCTCAGGCTATCAGAAGTCGCCAGGTTCACTGGCCACTGTCGTCGTTGAATCAGCCAAGCGTTCAAACAAGGGTCTCTCAAAACGTACCGGGGATGGAGACGGAGGGGAGCGGTCAGATTCGGTCTGTGTACCCTTATCAGCAGTGTTCGATTTCCTTGCCATGATGGCAGCTCTAGGCTTCGTTGGTCACTATCGAGGCAGATGTTCTCCGGCAAGGTGTACCAATCAACTTGCAAATCCAGAGTTTTGATGCGCTCCCAGACATCTGCATTGTACCAATCGCGGTCGAAGACGTGTACACGCATTGCTGCTGCGATGGCACACAAAGATATCTTGTTCTCAGCATAGGGGGTTGGCTGGTTACCGCAGTTCATATCAAAGTCGGGCCAGTCTTGCGAGAGGTAATCATGGGGAGCGAAACGTGCTGCTTCCCAGATGCCCAACCCCATCAAGGCGGCGTCTAGTTGACCTGTGGTGGCGGAGGACTTCACGTGTCAAAATGGTGTGATGTAAGGTGTCATTTCACATGAAACCACTTACCCTTACACCCCCGTATCTGTACGACACATGCCCCCCATAACGTTGGGTCAGCACATCACGCTTCCAGGTTTCCAAGGTGCTACTCAAACACAAATGTGTTACACTAATGGACTTACACCTGCGGTCATCTCTCGAACAACTTCATACTCGTAATCATGAAAGATGTATCCCTCTTGCCAGGCTTCTTTCTTTCGTATTTCTTGGCTAACAGCATGAAAGAACTGCACACTATTGACCGCCAGTGCCCATGCTTCGATGAGATCGACGCGTGTCATCTGATGAGGCCAAGACAGAGCATACCACAGTGTGCATGTGATTGTCAGTATTATAGTCATTCCTCGTTGTTAGCGGCAGATACACCACACACCTCTACCCAAACATGTTCCACAGCTTCCCCATTATCAATTGAAACACCTACCGTAGGTCCAGTGTAGCATGCAGAGGACGTAGGTGGAAGGAAGGCGCCAAGGTCTGTGATGTAGATGCGCTCTGCGGGAAGATCATCCATGATCTTGTACCAAACGCCAGCACCATTTGCGCACGGCCGGCCTTTGGCAGCGGCCAAGGGCTGAGCAGCAGTTCTCAACATAGTGTCTTCCGCAGGTGGATAGATCACTCATATCTCAACTTTCGGAGAGGAATTCGAACGCCGGCGGTGGCTTCTGTAGGAGGGTGGTGGCGAACACGGGAGCGGGAGCGGTGGGTTGTTGATGTTTTCGGGACGTCTTATGGGATGATGATGATGCCCTTTTTCAGTAGAGATGTTATTGCCCATGATGGATACCCGTTGAATGACAGTTGTAATGTGTATGCACTGAGATCACTGCACTGTATTGAAATGATTACTGTATCATCGCGATGCGCTAAGAAAAGATAAAAAGATAAAGGCGCAGAAGATCGGATACGACAACGGACCTACCCACTCTGCCGCAGCACAACACAGACTAAGGGAACGAGACAACCAGAGAGTGATTGGAGATGAAAAATGAGGGTGGATGGTTTTCATTCATGATTGCTGATAACGTGCAATTGCACGCCACGGACTGCATCCCTATCGGTGAGCGAATAACGGCTCAAACGCCAACTTCTGCAGTCCGCCCAAGTCGTCGGCGGTACCGCATGGGCGAATGAAGACCTTCTGTTGTTACTATCCGGCTTCGCCTTTCTCAAATACCCTTTTCGGTTATCTGGGGTCACGAGGTTCACTGGCCACTGCTAGCGTTGGGTTAACTAAGCCCCTCCCGAAGACAACAAGCAGTGCTAAAAACGTACCGGGGCTAGGGACGGAGAGTCATCAGTTCCGGTTTGTGTGCCCTTGTCAGCGGTGCTTGAGCTCCTTGTCGTGATCGCGACTCTAGGCTTTGTCCTGTCACTATCGAGGCAGATACTCTCCGGCAAGGTGTACCAATCCACTTGCAAATCCAAGCTTTTGATACGCTCCCAAACATCTTCATTGTACCAATCCCGGTTGAAGACGTGTATACGCATTGCCGCTGCGATGGCACACGAACCTATACCCTCCAAGGCCTCGCCGATCGGCATGTTCCCGTAGTTCATGTCAAAGTCAGGCCAGTTTCTCGGGAGGTACGCATAGGGGATGGAATTTTCCGATTCCCAGGTGCCCAAAGAGACCAAGGCGGCGTCAAGTTGATCTGTCGTGTTGAGGAGGGACACAGGTGTCAAAACGGTACTAATGGCTTCATAATATAACGAGTGATTGCACATACCCATACATCCTCGTATCTGTATGACCCAATGCCAATTTCTCAGGTCAGCTCATCACATCACCAGGATCCTGCGCCGGCCTTTGCTGTAGCTACAATGGACTTACCCCTGCGGTTATCTCTCGAACAACTTCATACTCGTAATCATCAAA